GAGCAACACAGTCGTGCAGCACGTCCTTTTCAGGACGGCGCTCCGACTGTGCGTTTCTGGATGCGGTGGTTTCCTGTCCTCGGATGATGGGCACGGGCACTGCGTTACATGCCTGGGAAGTCCAGCTTGTTAATGCGCTGCTCGCGGGCAGTTCATGTCGTCATTGCGATGCCATGACTGTTGTGCAGTAAAGATCGCGGCTAGCCTTTGCAAAAGGGCGAACCACCCCAGTTGTCCCCTGCTCTGCAGCGGGCATTCGGGCAGATCTGAGGGTTTCAGTGAGAGATAATCCGTCGCCCACGGGCCCGCGGACCTCCCGCTCCTCTAAGCGCTCCATCCAAGCTTCGGGCGGGGGAAGCGATCCGTCTAACAGATGGTAGCCCTTACGCCAGATGACACCGGAGACCAGACGTCCACCGCGGCATCGGAGGGTGGGCTTTCATTGTCCGATGATGATCCAGACCTGCTCGCCCCCTCCGGGTAGGTGAGCGCTGTCACTACGGATCCTGAAACAGACATGTTAGCCGTGCTTTCCCGGGCTGCTTCGGCCGTGGGTTGGAGATGGTTTATCCCCCAGCTCCGCGGCCGGACCGACTAGAGGGGCGTTCCCTTCTTCCCGGAGGTGCACAGTAGGCTCACGCGGTCTTGAAGAGCACTTTTTTATGCTCGTGCTGCGTGTCCCTCCACCCTCACCACTCTTGACGGTGGAACAGCCAGGGGGTATGTGGCGATTCCTCAGGTTGAGTGCGCGATGGCAGTCAATCCTCGCGGTGCCTCTTCTTGGCGGGGTCCGCCTCGTCTCCCATCCAAAGCCTGTAAGTTATCTGCCTCCCTCAGAGCTAGAGCTTACATAGCTGCGGGCCAGGCTGCTTCCGCCTTGCATGCGATAGCCACCTACCAGCGCTACCAAGCGCAGGCGCTGGCCGAGCTGCACGAGGGTGGGTCCAACCCAGGCTTACGAGCTACGCACCGCCGACGACTTAGCTCTTCGGACTACTGAGTCTGCTGCGTGCGCATTGGGGAGGACGATGTCCACATTAGTGATCCAGGAGCGCCACCCCTGGCTGATATGCGCGAAGTCGACAAAGTCCACTTTCTTGACTTCCCCATATCCCAAGCCATGTTCGGCGACACCGTCTGTGAATTTACCCAGGAATTCAAGGCGGTAAGAGAGCAGTTGATGGGTGATGTCTTATCGACGGTCCGTAGCCTGCTCCGCCCGCCGTGCCATTCATACCTGCTCCTCGCTGAAGGCGCCCGCCTACGAGAGCTGCTCCGCCCCCGCACACGCCTCTGGCGAAGCGAGCGGGTCGGGCACCTCGGAAGCAGGCAGCCCCCCCTGCCCAGAACGTTGCTAAGTCCGGCAACGGACCGCGAAGCGTCCCTGGGACAGGCCATCTGGAGAACTTGCTCTTTCCCCGCTGGATGGCGGGGCCTCATTTCCAACGGCACTTTTTACTGCCATGAAAACATCATGAAAGAGCACTTTTCCACTTCCCTGGATGTGACAGCCCGAAATCTGCCAGTCTGGGACGCTATGCTTTCTAGCTTGCAGATTCGGTGCGTTCCGCCAGTGGCTCACGAGCGCTGGGAGGACGGTCTCCTTTCTCCCACCCCTCGAGCCTCCCCTCCGGAGCTCGGGTGCGGAGTGAGAGCAAATATCTCACCTCCAGCTTTTCCGTGGGACCCGCGCACTTCCCGGATCAGCACACCCACTCCGCGCTGCCCCACTGCTGGTACGTCAGTGATTGTAGCGATGAGTCCATTAGCGAGAGCTCTGCCTGCCTGGTTAGCGCGGGCCAGCTCTTCGCGGTGGCTCATATGCACAATCAGACTCGGCTATGCGATTCAGTTCGCGAAACGGCCCCCCAAGTCACGGGTGTGCATTCACCAGGGTCAGCCCCCTGTCCGCCCCTGTCTTGCGTGAGGAGATTGCTGTCCTCTTGGCGAAGGATGCAATCGAGCAGCTCCCTCCAGCCGAGATGGAGAGCGGGTTTTACAGCCCACACTTCATCGTGCCCAAAAAGAGTGGTGGGTCAGGACCAATCCTAGATCTGCGCGTTTTGAACCACTGTCTGCACAAGCTGCCATTCAGAATGCTCACGCAGAAGCGCATCCTCCGGTGCGTTCGTCCTCTGGGTTGGTCTGCAACATTAGACCTGATGGACGCGTATTTCCATGTCTCCACTCTTCCTCACCACCGTCAGTTTTTGCGGTTTGCGTTTGAAGGTCGAGCTTGGCAATACAAAGCCCTCCCCTTCGGGCTATCTCTGTCTCCGCGGGTCCTCACCAAGCCCACGGAGGGTGCCTTAGTGCCCCTTCGGCTCGCGGGCATCTGCATACTCAATTTTCTTGACGACTGGATGATTTTTGCCCTCTCTCGGAGCAATTGATTATGCACAGAGACAAAGTGCTCCGGCACTTCCACCTGTTGGGGTTTCAGGTCAACCGAGAAAAGAGCAAACTCGCCCCCGTGCAGAGGATCTCTTCTCTCGGGCTGGAGCTGGACTCGGTCACCATGGCAGTGCACCTCTCCGGAGAGCGCGCTCAGCTGATGCTGTACTGTCTGAGAGAGCTCGACAGTAAAATAGTGGTCCCACTGAAACTATTTTAGAGGCTCCTGGGGCATATGGCATCCGCAGCCGCTTCGCGCCGCTCGGATTACTCTATATGAGACCACTTCAGCACTGGCTTCACGATCGAGTCCCCAGACGCGCATGGCACGCGCGCACACCGAGTCTCTGTTACTGCGCTGTGTCGCCGCGCCCTCAGCCCTTGGAGTGACCCCTCGTTCCTACAGGCCTGGATGTCTCTAGGACAGGCGTCCAGTCTTGTTGTCATTTCAACAGACGCTTCCAACACGGGCTGGGGGGCTGTGCGTTGCGGGCATGCGGCTGCGGACCTGTGGAAAGGTACCCAGTTACGTTGGCATATCGCCTTGAGCTGTTGGCAGTGTTCCTCGCTCTCCACTGTTTTTTTCCGGTGCTGGAGTGGCAACACGTGCTGGTCAGGACGGACAGTACGGTGGCGGCGGCTTATATCAGCCGAATGGGGGGTATGCGCTCTCGCCGCATGTCTCAGCTCGCCCGCCGTCTGCTCCTCTGGAGTCATCCGCGGCTGAAATCGCTGCACGCCATTCATATTCAGGCAAGCTCAACCGTGCAGCCGATGCGCTCTCACGGCAGACTTACGTCCTGGAGAACGGAGACTCCACCCCGAGTCTGTTCAGCTGATCAATCTGTTGCTTCCCCCGAGATCGCTCATTGCCAGTTGTTCTTTCCCTGACTGAGTGCTCTCGGCACGGATGCACTGGCTTACAGCTGGCCTCGGGGCATGCGCAAATACGCGTTTCCCCCAGTGAGCCTGCTCGCGCAGTTACTGTGCAAGGTCAGGGAGGACGAGGACGAGGAACAGGTTGCTGGTTGCACCCCTCTGGCTTAACCGGACCTGGATGTCAGAGCTCTCCCTCGCGATAGCCCTCCCCTGGCAGTTCCCTTCGAGAGAGCACCTACTCTCTCAGGGACAGGGCACCATCTGGCACCCTCGCCGATCTTTGGAGGTCCTTAGACGCGAGGAAGACTTAGGTAACCTCCGATTGCGGTGGCTATTACCGTCACTCGGGCTAGAGCCCCCTCCCCGAGCGCGCCTATGCCCTGAAGTGGAGCCTATTCACTGAATGGTGCTTCTCTCGGTCTCCGGACCGCACTCAGAGTTTAGATCATCTGAGCAGCTCTTCGTCTGTTATGGCGGTCGGCAGCAGGGAAGGGCCGTACCGAAATAAGTTTCCCACTGGATTGTGGATGCCATTCTCTCGCTTATCAGAGCCGAGGTGAGCCGCGTCCCCCGAGAGTGCGCCTCTCTAACAGACATCTGTAGAGCTGCGGGCTGGGTGACACCCAACACATTTGCAAGGTTTTACAATCTGCGAGTGGAGCCGGTTTCCTCAAGGGTATTAGGTAACCCTTGGTGATTGAGGAAACAACTCGGTAGGGTGTTGAAACACGCTTGCTGCGCCATTCTCCCTAACACGGAGGTATGTGCGCCTTTTTATCTGTCAGTAAAGTTCCCCGTCAGGTGAGCCCTGCAGATTCCTCCGTGGCCCCCAGCACTGACTCAGCAGAGGAGTCACTAGCTGGCCCACTACGTTGTAGGTCTGCCCGCTGGTCAGCCCGCGTTTTGGGTATAGGTGCCTGCTATGCGTGATCACCGCTAGGCGATCCCATATGCTTATTCCGCCACGGTTAAGTCCCCCCCCTGGGCGGACCCGTGTCTTCCCTCTCCGCTAACCACTCTTTTGCTATGCATACTCCCCCTTTTTAGGGCTAGTCCATATGTAAATTCTGCCATCTATCCCCCCTTGGGTAACGGATAGCCTCCGCAGCGTCCTCCCTATCGGGATTGCACGCTTCCCAACGTACTGTCGTATTTTCCTAGAATTATCTAGATTATCACCACTTCCCAAAAAATATATCTAAATCCGTAAGACTTCTGTTCAAGTAGGATAAATTAGGGCCAGGGACACGTTGGAGGACCGCGCCTCCCATGATGTGGGTGCGTCACGCTTGCTTGACTATCCCCTCATCGGGGGCGTTGGTAAGGTGCAGTCATTATGGCGCTTTCCATAGTCCTCCCATTTCGTGGATTTTCACAAAGATCAAATCCACTTAATAGCACTGAAGTTCCCCAACCGAAGGGGAACGTTCGAGGTTACAGAAGTAACCCTTCGTTCCCCGAGGAGGGGAACGGAAGTGCTATACTCCGTCGCCATAATGACTGTCCCGTAGCTGTTTAAATGTCTCTTCAGCTTAAAAGGATGGTGTTTGCTCGCTCCAGGTGTGCTTATATGCTGGGATAATTGGCAATGAAGCACACCTGTGCAAGCTTACGCTGCCAATTCATTGCATTCATTGGCCCGTTCAATACTCTTTCAGACAAGCGGCTTCTGAACCGAATCCTCCCATTTCATGGATTTTCACAAAGATCAAATCCAATCAATAGCAATTCCGTTCCCCTCCTCGGGGAACGAAGGGTTACTTCTGTAACCTCGAACGTTCCCTGTGATGGCTGAAAAAATAATAAACAGTTCTTCAAAGAACCATTTTTCAATTGATAATAATAATCTATAGAAACATTATTCTCTATAAATAACTATTTGTGGAATGAAAATATTCAGAGCATGTTAAAGGATCTTCATGAAACCATCTATGTCAATAAAGCTTAGGCCTACTAGCATTTCTCACTATTTGTTTTAGTATCTGACAGAGGATTTCAAGCAGAAACAATGAAGCATGACCTCAGAATTAACAAGCGTAAAGCTCCTCCTTAAAGATAATTTGGTAACAAATTTCTCAAATTTGCCACACTTACATTTACTGTTTTTTACAGTACCTGAAATAGAATACTGTTTTAGTTAGGCCGTTAGCTTACACTTTATACAAAAGCTAATAAAGTCATCATACAGACATGTACATTTCCAACAACAGATGCAAGACTCACTCATTATAGGCTGTGCACAGTTTGCAGACCATCTTGGCTCAATATGGAGCAGGTCCCAGGAGGTTGATCTTCTGCTCCAGCCCCGTCACACCTCTGCCCTCTTGCCATGACCTTGAGAAGAGCACTTGACCCTCCCCGCGGGTCATTGCTGGTGGTTGTAACTGGAGAGTAGAGCTTTTTCTGAAAGAGTGGCCTGTGTTTAGTCTGTTATAGCCAAGTGGAGATCCAATGGAGAAATCCTGAGGGCCAAAAGAGACCTACTGTCAAAACAGTCCCAAAGGCTTCGGATGAGCACTAATGGATGCCAATTAAGCTGACGAGTCACTTGATACTTTTCATTTTTGAGAAGGAATATACAAGCATTACAATCAGATGCCATATTTTTATGCAAATTTTGCAAAGTAGATTTAAAGATGTTGAATTCATGGTGTAACAGAAGCAGTGACAGAAAAATGTGAACAAATTATAGAAAAAGAAAAAATGCTTATATCCATCAGTTGTTGACTGAATGATGATACATCTGAATGTGAGTTTTACACGAAGCCTCAAGACAGGCACCAAATTTTAAAAAGTAAACTGTTTGAGTTATTTTAGAGATGGTGCTGAGACTCGAACAATGAACCTTTGAATCCAAAGTACAACTCTCTAACCATGAAGTCATGGCTGCCTTAGTTAAACTGTTAACTGTTAATAAACTCTTATTATATTATATTATATTATATTATATTATATTATATTATATTATATTATATTATATTATATTATATTATATTATATTATATTATATTATATTATATTATATTATATTATTAATTCATTTTCTTTCGGCCTAATCCCTTTATTCATCAGGGGTCACCACAATGGGAAGAAATGCCAACTTATCATATATACTACACAGCGGATGCTCTTCCAGCTGCAACCCATCACTGGGAAACACTCAAACTTTTTTTTTAGTGATGCATAAGTGAAGTTGATTTATAAACTAATTTTGAGAGGATGACATGCTTGTGATTACAACTGATTTGCCAATCAGATGATTCCTAACTCACAATAAATAACCAAAGTTTCTTACATCAGTTATCTTCGTCTTGAAGGATTTTGAATACATTTTCATAACCACAACTTCCCTGATTCTTTTTTTTTTTTTTTTTTCTTTTTGCTATGTGAGCTAACCGTACACTATATCCAAGATGAAAATCAATAGAAAATGCCCTGAAGTTCCTCCTGACATATTTTAGCTAAAGCAATTTTCCCCAAATAATATCAGTGCATAATATCAGTACACATGCCAAAAGCTGTTACCCATCCAGCGTTTGGCGGCCTCCACTGCAGCTCCACGCGGGCCAATTTGGTATTCGCCGGACGTTCCTGCTTTTATTTAGCAGAGATTTAGTGGCGATGCTGTGCGTATAGGAAGTCCTCTCTCAGGTGCTGTGGATGTCAGAGAGAGGAGAGAGTAATAAAGCGCTGATGGTAATTTAAAAAGCAGGCATGCATATCTGAGACTGGCCATGACACCCTTCTGTCCTCCAGTCTCACTCCCTCTCTCTCTCTCTCTCTCTCTCTCTCTTTTTTTTTTTTTTGCTTACCGGCCTTCCATTTTTCTTTTTCTCTTCATTTCCTTTCGCCCTGCCAGACAATCAATTTCCGCCGCTGGCATTGCGTTCATCTCTCTTTTTCTCTCCGTTCTCATGGTCAGACGACTGGAGCTGACCTTTTCACTATAACCCGTTATTAGAGAAGCTGACATTCAATCCCTGAGCCCGGAGGACAGGGAGAGCCAGCGTCAGTCACCCAGGCCCCCACTGCTGCCCCAGGGTCACCCCTGACCCTCTCCATCAAGTCGCAGTGCCCGTCAATCAGCCTGAGATCCAACGCCAGCGTTAGCCAATCCAGAGCAGGGAAAGAGGAAGGTGCATTCAGAGAGGCAGGGTCTGCAGGTCATGTGATCCTCACACCTGTGAACATCAGGACAGATTAGCCATAATGATAATGTAATGTTTATTTTATTTTATTTTATTTAAACTTTAAATAAACGTAGGGGTTGTATACATGCGTTCTGACCAATTTATTTAATATATTTATTTATTTATTTTTATTTAAACTTTAAATAAACAAAGGATTTGGATACATGCATTCTGACAATTTTATTTTATTCATTTTATTTTATTTTATTTAAACTTTAAGTAAACTGATGTTGTGTACATGCATTCTGACAATTTTTTTTTGTTTTAGGCTTAGTCCATTTATTAATCTGGGATCACCACAGCGAAATTAACAGCCAACTTACCCAGCATATTTTTTACGCAGCGGATGCCTTTCCAGCTGCAACCCATCACTGGGAAACACCCATACACACTCATTCACACACATACACTATGGACAATTTTAGCTTACAAAATCACCTTTAACGCATGTCTTTGGACTAATGGGGGAAACGGGAGCACCAGGAGGAAACCCACGCGAACACAGCGAGAGTATGCAAACTCCTCACAGAAATGCCAACTGACCCAGCCTAGGCTTGGACCAGCAACCTTCTTGCTGTGAAGTGACAGCACTGCCTACTGCGCCACCGTACCACCCCAAATTTTATTTTATTTTATTTTATAAAATGCTTTATAACAAAGGACTTTGTTATAAAGGAAAAAATACAATCTTTTATTTACAATGGACACATTAAATAGATCAAAAGGGATAGTACAGACATTTATCTTGTAACTAAAGTTTATATTATTTAATATAATTTTACTGTTTTATAAAATTATTTTAATATTATATTTGTTTAATAGGCGATGCGGTGGCGCAATAGGTAGTGTTATCGCCTCACAGCAAGAAGGTCGCTGGTTCGAGCCTCGTCTGGGTCACTTGGCGTTTCTGTGTGGAGTTTGCATGTTCCCCCTGCGTTCGTGTGGGGGTGCTCCGGTTTCCCCCATAGTTCAAAGACTTGTGGTAGGTGAGGAGGTGAATTGGCTAGGCAAAATTGTTCATGGGGAATGAGAGTGTATGGATGTTTCTCAGAGATGGGTTGCAGTTGGAAGGGCATCAGCTGTGTAAAACATATGCTGGATGAGTTGGCGGTTCATTCCGCTGTGGCGACCCCAGATTAATAAAGGGACTAAGCCAAAAAGAAAATGAATAAATGAATAAATATATGTTTAATAGTTTTTATTACGAGACAAATGATTGGCTGATATTTAAACATGTTTGAGTCAGGGTGATTTTATTTTATGTTTCATCTATTAATTAATTTAAATTTAAGAAATTGTAATCACCATAGACACATTGTATGGATTTAAAGTAAAACACACTGATTTAATATTACATCATTTTTAATTTGTTATTATTTTAGACAATAATTTAGTTTCATCAAAAAAAAACCTATTGACAAATTTAATGTATCAAATGTGAGAGCTACAACCTTATTAATGTTGCTCATATGACATATGAGACTTAATATTTTCCACAAAAAAAAAACATTAAGCAGCTCAACTACATAATGCATTTTGTTATATTTAAGAAATTTATTAAATATAAACATGTAATAATTTTACTAAATTACTGCTTTAACACATTTTTGATCATTTTCTTTTGAAAATGAAAAGACTAGTAGTACACATAGTCATAAAATCTTTTCTAGTAGTATAGTCATAAAATCTTTTCTCTTCTAAAAACCCAACTGTTCACAAGAGACCCATTTAAGCTACGTGTTACTATCCGGTATAAACAATAATAATGTCTCTCAGTTGACCAGTAGTAATCAAACCAGATCTTAAAGCCAATCTTAAATAAAGCCTAAAAATGTTTAAGATAAACCAAGAAAATAAAATAAATAAAATCAGGTTTGCTTTAAGTTAAAACAGCTCTCATTAAATGTTCATTAGCACTGAAGTTTAATGAGCTTTTGAAGAAAAGATTAAATGGTAGGCAATAGTGGAAAATTTGATACAGAAAAAAAAAAACATAATTTGCCATGGAAGCATTTTTCCCCTCTTTTACAGCAAAGTTTATTGACTGACCAGATGAGACACAGACACTGGCAATTTGGAGCGACTGCATGTGTGCTTTACACAATGAAAACACACTTTCTCACTCTAATTATTTGCCCTTTGCCTTGGCAGAGAGGGGCTCGGGTTATGATAATTTTGTTATTTTTAGGTAATTGTTTGCAGTGTGCAAGTTCATGAACATTAAAGGGCTTGCCGCGTTTTTAATCTAGCGGATGAAGGTTTAACAGCAACGGCGATGTGCTCTAATGACAGAGAAGCCAATCATCTGCTCTCCTCACGCACATGGCATGGAGAATAAACAGCACTCTAAAAACGTATGGTTACCTTCTAGATTTAAGTTATTTTATTTTACATTGAACTGACTTTAACCTGTCTGTATAAGTTTAAAAAAAATTACATTTGAACAACTTACACTTTTTAGATATGGTATTTTAATACATTATGTACAGTTGAAGTCAAAATTATTAGCTCCCCTTTTAATTTTTTTTCTTTAAAAAAAAAAAATCATAAATGATGTTCAACAGAGCAAAGAAATTCTCACAGTATTCATTCATTCATTTTCTTTTTGGCTTAGTCCCTTTATTAATCTGGGGTCACCACAGCGGAATGAACCACCAACTTATATAGCACGTTTTTACGCAGCGAATGCCCTTCCAGCTGCAACACATCTCTGGGAAATATCCAAACAAACACTCATTCATGTGTGAGACAATTACTACGACAATTTAGCCTACCCAATTCATCGGTACCACATGTCTTTGGACTGTGGGGGAAACCAAAGCACCCGGAGGAAACCCACACAAACACAGGGAGAACAACTCCACACAGAAATGCCAACTGACCCAGCTGATGGGTCTTCTTGCTGTAAGATGACAGCACTACCTACGGCACCACTGCGATGCCATCTTCACAGTATGTCGGATAATATTTTTTCTTCTGGGGAAAATGTTAATTGTTTTATTTCAGCTAAAATAAAAGACTTGCCTTCAAATGTCACTTTAAGCTGTATAGAAATTGTTTTGAAAATTATCTAGTAAAATATTATGCACTGTCATCATGGCAAAGATAAAATAAATCAGTTATTCTTTTCTCCGTTAAACAAAAATTGGAGGAAAAAATAAACAGGGGGGCGACAATAATTCGGGGGGCTAATAATTCTGACTTGAACTGAACTGAACTGAATATATATATATGTATATATATATATATATATATATATATATATACATGCAAAAAAAATTAATTAAAAATTACATTAAAAAATAATAAAAAGGGCAATTTTATTAAAAAAAAAACATGAAAACAATCTCAATTCAACACACATTCCAATGAAAGTAAAAATATATTAAAGTTAGTCATAACAAACACAGTGCACATACAGTATAAACAGTCGCATTTTTTAGGATTACTAAACGGTGAGTCAATTCTTATCTAATAAATGAAGGAAGAAGTCCCAAATCTTGTAAAAAAATGTGCAGTCCATTGCTACAAGAAGACCTGGCTCTGAAATCCAGAGTGACAAAAATGCAGGCACGTGCACACAGAAAGTGCCCTTTCAAAATGATCTAAAGTGCCCCCGCTCTAACCCTTTAACTTCCCTCACTATTTTGGCTTTGCTTGCTTTCTTGTTTGTTTATTTATTTTATTTTATTTTTTAACAATGACAGAAACTCTAATGTTTTTATTTATTAATTTACTTAATTTATTTTATTTATTTATTATTTGCATTTTTTATGAAGAGTTGTGTGTTTTATTCCTTATTTGTAAGGAATTTTTAATTAAAGCATCTGATAAATGGATGCATGTAAATGTAAAATATATTCTTCACATTAAGTCTGAGTTGTTTGCACAGAAGAACAAATCATAAATAAAACAAAACTTTTCCCATAATCTTTTTCTTAATTTAATTTTATTTAATTTTATTTTATTGGAGAACATAGTCTTCATAAAAGTTTCACACTCTTGTTTCTTAAAGTCTCACTCACAACAGCCAAAAGCACTTGGTCATGTGATAAAAGAACAACTAAACACAGCAGGGGAGGAACAACAATATATGACAGTAGCACATCTACACATTAAAGAATGGGAGTTATAAACTTTAAACTAAAGTATCAATCTCATCAGCTTAATACCAACCCAGTTCCAATGTTAATATTGATACTATAGGATGTTATGATCAATTCACCAACATCCCCCAAAGCAAACTCTGTGTGTGCGTGCATGTCTGTGTGCGTGTGTACTCACTAAAGTGTCATTGGGTACAGTACAGGTGTGAAGCAGGTATGTGGGACAGGTGTGGTTCAGGCCAGTCGAGCAGGTCAAGCATGTGACCAGCACAGGCGAGCAGAGGAGAGGGTGTGGAGAAACCCAGAGAGATAAGCTGAAGGAGGGCCAATCTCTGCCGACTCCACTTCAGGTACAAAGTGTGCCTGCGGGAAGAGGAGGAGAACTAATATTTCACACACATACACAAGCCTGCAGGCAGTTTCCACTGTTTCACAAACAAATTGATAGAGATGAGTCAGTCTCTCATGTTCTGGTTAACCTTTTAGTGCCCACAAGACCCTGAGATGAAAGGAGCACTCGCGCTTCTAGAGTATCTTCAGATGGCCGTATTAGGAGGAAAAGAAGTGTGCTTAAAGGTGTTGAATGGCAGTACTTTAATCTCAAAAGTATATTTTTATGAACTGTTGTTGTAGAGAAGATTAATCAGACAAAAGGCTTCTGAAGTGTACATTAAATACTTGCTCATGACCTTAAAATAGGTTATGTTATTCTTTTTACAAGATGTAATGTACTGTAAGTCTCAGGTGTAAAGTTCCAGCTCAAAATACAATGCTGAAACGTGCATTTTGTGTGTGTGTGTGTGTGTGTGTGTGTGTGTGTGTGTGTGTGTGTGTGTGTGTGTGTGTGTGTGTGTGTGTGTTTGTGTGTGGGCCTTTTAATGTATAATATAAGCTGCTGTTAACTGCCCACTTTTCCAAAAGAGGACCGGGCCTTTGAACATTGTGTCTTGGATACTCTGTCAACAACAAAGTGCAATAAAACTCAAAAAGCGTCCCAAATCTCATACTTATACACTTTTCTATGCCATTTTGCAGTATAAATAGTGTAAGTAGTGTGTTCACACTGAAAACTCTAAAAACAATAAGTGCAGTTCAGTTACCCGGATGATGCTCTCATTTAGCCGGTAAAATGAAGGGTGGAATGATGGACACTTTACACACTCAATAGTCGCAGCTTTGCTCAAGTAACAGCATGGGACCGATCATTTGGGTCACTCATGTTGGATTACTTTATTTATTTTGGATTGTGAATGCAAACGAAGAGGGATTATGTCACCTCCTGATGGTAAATGTGGTTATACTCATGGCAGGTAATATTTGGTAGTTTGGCCATTTATTTCACTAATTTGGCAACCATCAAATGTCATCAGGGACACGGTTTGAATTTCCGCTTAGTAAAAACATTAGTGTTCCATTTATGACGACACTATATACTATACTGTTGAGTTTCAAGGAGACCCTAAAATGTGATAGACCCGACTATTTATGTTATGCTTAATTATGATAATAAAATACAAAAGATAAGGTTAAAAATTATTCATCTTTCAAAGATGACCTACAACTTCACTAACTGACGACTGCTGCGCTATCCCATGATGCCCTGCAAAAGAATTCATAAATGGGGTTAAAGTGTAGATCATATATGCGGCCGGCCGAAAGTGTGATATGCACATTAATATAGCAGCACTTTTTTGTGTGACACTGCATAACAATAATTAATAATGGGAGTGAAGCTACACAGCTCAGGCTGGTATGTCACATGATTATGACAAGATGGCAGATATAGTATGTCCAAGTTCCATTTATACTGCTCACATTCATACTGTATAGAACGTACTTTTCTTACGGTCGAGTGGTACATTTAAATTCAAATGAAGTACCTGAGTAGAAGGCGGTTTTGGAAGCAGCCATTTTCACAGCACAGTGACATCCATCATGTTTTTTGGGTTTCCTTTAAACATTTATGTTGTGCTCCGTTGTTTTTGCAAGTGTTGTAAGAAAATGCAGGATGTTTTCGTGAATTGTTTGCACTGTGAGAAAATGCAGCACGTTTTATTCATTTGTTTGCATTGAGTAAAATGCAGTGTGCTTTTTAATGTGTTTGTGCTGTGAGGTTTTGCAGCACATGTGCTGTCAAACGGTTTTCTTAAATTGCAGAACGTTAAGCTCTCTCGGCCACCATACAAACAAGTGCGCAGACTCCATCACTTTTAATTTTTGACTGCAGGTTCTTCGCAGTTCATGGTTTCTCGGTTTTAACAACAGGTGAAACCCCAGATCACTGCCATTCAGCACTTTACGATTTAATAAAAAGCTTCAATTCTCAGCAACAAATTCTAATCGAATTTGAACCGATCAAACATGAAAATATTTTAACTTAAAATTTGACAACTGGGGTAAGCTAAAGAGAAGTTGGAATGCTAATTTCTTATGTTCATTCACCATAGCCTATTTATAACCATAAAAGTGGGTTTTAAATCACTACATGCTCTAGAGCACATCTTTTTCAAAAGGAGGTTTATTTTCAGTAAATCTTAAAATGTCACTGTTGCCACTTTGTCTACAACACAGGTGTCAAACTCAGTTCCAAAAGGGCCGCAGCTCTGCACAGTTTAGTTCCAACCCTAATTAAACACACTTGATCAAACTAATTGAGTCCTTCAGGCTTGTTTGAAACCTACAGGTAAGTGTGTTAGAGCAGGGTTGGAACTAAACTGTGCAGGGCTTCGGCCCTCCAGGAATTGAGTTTAACACCCCTGGTCTACAAGCTTTTGCTTCTTTTTTAGATGTAGATGTGTGGGTGTGTTTGAACAGTCTCAAAAACAAATTTATGAAAATTCAAAATGTTGTTGTGTAATTTTAAATAGGCTGTAAAATGTTTCGACTGAGAAATCAAGCACTGATTTTATTCAGTGGTTTTTAATAATATTATTGTAATAATTTAACAATTTTGGTCACACTTTACAATAAGGTTCATTAGTTAATGTTAATTAATGCATTTACTAACATGAACAAACAATGAACAATACATTTACCGCTGTATTTGTTTATGTTAGTTGACGTTAGTTAATGAAAATACAGTAGTTCATTGCTAGTTCATGTTAACTCATGGTGCATTAACTAATATTAACAAACATGGACTTGGTTGTTAATAATGCATTAGTAAATGTTCAATTATGATTAATAAATGCTGTACATGAATGTTGTTCATGATTAGTTCATGTTAGTAAATGCATTAACTAATGAACCTTATTGTAAAGTGTTACCACAATTTTTAAAAGTCCACAGAAATCCTTTGAAAGAATCTGAAGGAAAACAGGCACATATTAGCAAAGGCTCATTTGTGCAATCAGAAACATTTATGATATACATAAAGCTGAGCTATCAGAAATACAGTCAGCTATGGGTTGGAGAAGGCTAGTCAGTGTCAGAAGAGCTGGTCTATGAAGCCACTTTAAAAGTAGTGCAGCTCATCTCAGGGGCCCAGAATCTGGGCCTGGTCTCAATAACAGAGTCAGCTTTATAATGCGAGTGAAAAAGAGAGAAGAAAAGAGATTCTCCACACACATTCTGAAAATAATTAGAACATGTAACCCATCAAAAAAAGGTTAAAATTTACAGAAGTAGACGACCCAAAAGGCTTACTTCAGTTTAACAAGCCTCCAAAAGCACAGAACGGGGCAACCAGGGCTCTGTGAGCTCTGCTGGAAAACAGAAGACCACCGCACTGATGCCACTTGCTGGCTGAGTAAAATGGCACACATTAATGAACCTCACAGAATCTACTCAACGCTTGTCATAAACCTCCAATATGTCAATGCTGAAACTGCATTTGGGCTGGAGAGATTTAGAGGTGGATCTTCCCCCTTTTCCAGAGTGGTCTAGTCTAGGAGAGTTCCGGAATGTTGACCGATGTGACCTGAATCATTTAGCGGGATAACTAATGGCCACCTGTGACCATCTAGCATTCCTAGAAGACCAGACCGCTGATATGATCAGCAACTCCAAATACTGATCTCTAAAGTCAGCAAGTGCAGCATTTACTCACACAGACGCACACCCAAAATATACTTAAATATGTAAAAAAAAAAAAAAAAAGGATAATTGATCCAAAAGTAAACAGTTTTGTCACTCTTTTCAAACCAGAAAAGTGTCATTTTTCTATCATTTTCAAAAGTTTATTATGTAATGGTAAAAAAAAAAACCTTACAAAATTTAAAGGGAGAGTTCAACCAAAAAAGAATATCAACTTTTTGCATTAGCGGTCACATTCTGGAAAACTTACCTCTCACAAATTTGGTCCAATATTCCTTGTTACATAACAGGACAAATATTTTAAGACTAGAGAATGTGCTAAGGATTCTTTTAAACATTATATATATATATATATATATATATATATATATATATATATATATATATATATATATATATATACATGCCAGTTTATTCTATACCCACTAACATTCTTTTTTTTCCACTGTACTTAATTGACTACTAGCTGACATGTAGTTGCCTTGAGGCTGAATTATACTTCTGCATCAATCCACACGTATGGTCCGGCGCAGCATACGCTTCGTGGCATAGCCCTCACTATGGCCGTCACTAACGCTGACGCGCACCTCTCAAAAAATGTGACTACATGTCGCAACGACGCATATGGCAAGCACTGTGATTGGTCGATTTGGTAGCGCTGACAAGTGTGGGCGGGACTGAGAGGCACGCGAGTATTTACAGGTGTGGAGTCTCGTGAAGGAGCTCCAGATGAAAAGTTTTGTTTTGTGTTTAGCTTATGATTAAGGCTGTTGCACGTCCACCAGTTCCTGCCTCAAAATTAGCCAATTTGAGCCACTTATAGGTTAAGGTAGCTTCAGAAAAAACAAAACACCAGCGAAGAAACTTGACACAGAGGAACATAAAAACATCACTGCCAGCTAGCGTTGCAGAGCAACACAAACAGTGCGCAAAAGTAGACCTTTCAAAAACTAACTACACGTCGCAATGACGCATAGCGCAAGCTGTGTGATTGGTCAGTTTGGTAGCTGTGATGAGTATAGGCAGTTCTGCAAGCCTGATGGAGTTTGTGTTTACAAGTGTTGAGTCCTGTGAAGAGCTCCAAATGAAAACTTTAGTTTTGTGTTTACCTTATGTTTAAAGTTGTTGCATGTCAGCCAGTTCCTCCTTCTGAATGAGTGAGTTTTAGCTACTTGTTCTTTAAGGCAGGGGTTCCCAAACTTTTCAGCCCGCGACCCCCAAAATGACAATGCCAGTGACTCATGACCCCCAATATTCTCTGAGGTGGTGGTTATAAATACAGAAAGCTTGTATGCAATGACGCGCACAAACACACCAATAGACCCAAG